GTCACCTTATTACAGTTTCTCTCCAGCATGCAGTCGACCGTGTTTCCAATTGGGCCACCACATGTGGGTTTAAATTTTCCAGCACTAAAACCCACCAAATTACTTTCACTAGACGCTCTGTCATCTCCGATCATCCTTTGTACCTCTATGGCTCCCGTATCCCTGAATCCCTGTGATCGTAGGTTATCCTGGAAACCTCACATTACCTCTCTGAAGGCAACTTGCCGGCTGAACCTTCTTAAAACCCTTGCTCATCTTTCATGGGGAGCTGATCGTCGAACCCTCCGCCTACATTCCACCCTTATCTTATTGAAACTTGATTATGGTGACCAGATCTATTCAGCGTCATCTCCTGCTACTCTCTCTAGCCTTAACCCCATTCATCACCAAGGATTACGTTTATGCCTTGGTGCTTTTCGCTCTTCCCCTGTCGAGAGCCTCTATGCAGAAGCGAACGTTCCATCCTTATCCGATCGCTGTGATGCCCATTGCCTTCTCTACTATGTACGCTCTCATGATCTCCGCAATCCTTCCATTTATAGAATGGTCACTGATATTAGTAGACATTCTTTATTTGTTCGCCGCCCCTGTTTACTCCGTCCCTTCTCTCTTCGCCTTCATTCGCTCTTGTCTTCTCTTCAATTACCACCTTTCTATGTACATGTAGCATCTCACTTTTCCCTACCCCCCTGGGAAGTTCCAGCTGTTCGAGTCTGTTCTTTCTCTCTCCCTTGCTCGAAAGCCCAACTGTCTACGGTCGCTTCCCGCTCTCTTTTTCTTGACCACTTTCACTCTGATTCTCATGCCATTGCTGTGTACACAGATGGCTCTAAGTCTTCTGACGGCGTAGGATTCGCAGCAGTGTTTCCGGACAGCATCGTACAAGGGCATTTACTATCTTTGGCTAGTATTTTTACTGCTGAATTGTATGCCATCCTTACAGCACTTATCCGTATTGCATCTATGCCTGTGTCATCATTTGTGGTTGTCTCAGACTCCCTTAGTGCTTTACAGGCTATACAGAAATTTGATACACCTCACCCGTTAGTCCTCCGTATGAAACTTTGGCTATGCCGCATCTTTACCAAGCATAAAGATATTGTTTTTTGTTGGGTCCCTGGTCATGTTGACGTACAGGGCAATGAACAGGCAGACACTGCTGCGCGGTCAGCAGTACATGACCTACCAGTTTCATGTAGAGGTATTCCATTTACGGACTATTTTGCTGCAATATCTTCCCAACTTCACACCCGTTGGCAACAACGTTGGTCTACTATGCTCGGCAACAAACTTCAATCTATTAAACCGAGTATAGGTTACTGGCCGTCTTCTTATCACCAGTGTCGAGGTTGGGAGACTACTCTCTCCCGTCTTCGCATTGGCCATACTCGTCTTACTCATGGATATCTCATGGAGAGGCGCCCTGCTCCTCTCTGTGAGAATTGCCAAGTTCCATTATCAGTCAGCCACATTCTGTTGGACTGCCCACTTTATCAACGAGCACGCAGAATTTACCTCCATCGTCGTCTTCGCTCTGCTGCTCTCTCTTTACCTTCCCTTCTCGCTGATGGACCCACCTTTCATCCAGACTCTCTCATTGACTTTTTGACAACAACTGACTGACTTCACAAATTCTGATACCTTCAGCCCTTTCTACTTCAATCTCTTGTTACCCTCTAACCCCGTACTATCCCCTGCCCCACTGTTTTCTGTAACCTACTGATCATCCCTCCTCCCTTCTGCCATCCAATACCCTCGCTTCCTTCCCTACCCTGCAGCGCTGTATAGCCCTTGTGGCTTAGTGCTTCTTTTTGATTATAATAATAATAATAATAATAATAATAATAATAATAATACTCATGCCATTGGTGTGTATACAGATGGCTCTAAGTCTTCTGATGGCGTAGGATTCGCAGCAGTGTTTCCGGACAGCGTTGTACGAGGGCATTTACTATCTTCGGCTAGTATTTTTACTGCTGAATTGTATGCCATCCTTGCAGCACTTATCCGTATTGCATCTATGCCTGTGTCATCATTTGTGGTTGTCTCAGACTCCCTTAGTGCTTTACAGGCTATACAGAAATTTGATACACCTCACCCCTTAGTCCTCCTTATCCAACTTTGGCTACGCCGCATCTTTACCAAGCATAAAGATATTGTTTTTTGTTGGGTCCCTGGTCATGTTGATGTACAGGGTAATGAACAGGCAGACACTGCTGCGCGGTCAGCAGTACATGACCTACCAGTTTCATGTAGAGGTATTCCATTTACGGACTATTTTGCTGCAATATCTTCCCACCTTCACACCCGTTGGCAACAACGTTGGTCTACTATGCTCGGCAACAAACTTCAATCTATTAAACCGAGTAGAGGTTACTGGCCATCTTCTTATCACCAGTGTCGAGGTTGGGAGACTCTCTCCCGTCTTCGCATTGGCCATACTCGTCTTACTCATGGATATCTCATGGAGAGGCGCCCTGCTCCTCTCTGTGAGAATTGCCAAGCTCCATTATCAGTCAGCCACATTCTGTTGGACTGTCCACTTTACCAACGAGCACGCAGAATTTACCTCCGTCATCGTCTTCGCTCCGCTGCTCTCTCTTTACCTTCCCTTCTCACTGATGGACCCACCTTTCATCCATACTCTCTCATTGACTTTTTGACAACAACTGACTTACTTCACAAATTCTGATACCTTCAGCCCTTTCTACTTCAATCTCTTGCTACCCTCTACCCCCGTGCTATCCCCTGCCCCGCTGTTTTCTGTAACCTACTGATCATCCCTCCTCCCTTCTGCCATCCAATACCCTCGCTTCCTTTCCTACCCTGCAGCGCTGTATAGCCCTTGTGGCTTAGCGCTTCTTTTTTATTATATAATAATAATAAATCCAAGAGTTCCCTACTCGAACAAAGCTCGAAACTCGACCAAACACAACCTACCAGAACTTCGCTGTAAACTATTTCGTGTTTCTTCACATTTTTTGGTGTTTTTTATATTATATAAAAAGGTCACCATGGGGCCTACAAAGATTAGTGATAACAGCCAGCCAAAGAGAAAATTGGTCGAAAAGAAACTGTTCAATACTTGAACAGATTGGCACTCGAACAGCCTTCTGGAATGAATTAAGTTCGAGCACCGAGGTTCCACTGTATAAATTTTTATTTGCAGTATGTAATGTGATAATTTCTGAATACATACTGTATTACTTTGTGCTGGCTAACCTAAATTAAAAAAAATTCACTGTGCAGAGTAATGTTTTGTGTGCAATCTAAACATGTACATATTATTTATACAATTATTCTACAGCACTGTAATTTTTTATTATATCAATCTCTCTCAATGCTCACAGTAATCTTTAATGTGTCAGAGGCCCAAGACTGTTTAAGTGCCTCCCAGCATATATAAGGGGGATTACCAATAGACCCCTGGCTGTCTTCAAGAAGGTGCTGGACAGTCGCCTAAAGTCAGTATCTGACCAGCCAGGCTGTAGTTCGTATTTCAGTTTGCGTGCGGCCAACAGTAACAGCCTGGTTGATCAGACCCTGGTCCACCACAGAACCTGGTCTTAGACCGGGCTGCCCCGTGGCCTGGTCCGAGACCATTCAGCCAGGTGTGTAACAAACTGACATTAAACACTGACTCAGACATGCTGCAAAACAAAAATACATTGTTTTTGGCTAACATCTTCCAGAATAAAAAAATCTCAACAAAACACTTATTCTGTGGTCTATATTGGTTGAATGTATTATAATATATAAAATAATCTTAAGTTCTGTCGAGTAGCAGTCATAACTATAGCCATATTATCCTACAAAGCATTAATATTTTTATTTAATAGTGGCATAAAAAGGGCAAATAATTATAATTAATAGATTATCTTAAAAGTGGTATAATGACTAGATAGTAAACAATTACAAATTTTATTAAATCAATAGAAAACTAGAGTAATTTTTATTACAGCCCAAAACTATAGTCATCATGAGACTAGCAGTCACCCACGTAATCATGATTATCCTCACTGCAGACACCCCAAAAACAAAGATATTGTAAGTTAAAGATGACTGAGGAAGCCACAGGGTGGGTCCAAGGCTTCAGTAGGGAACTGAAAATCCCCCAGAGGCTACAAAATACCACTGCTAGCTTAAAGAAGCACTGAGATGGAGGAAGGGAGCTTCACAGCATTGATCAATGAGTAACACCAGTAACTGCTGAGTTGGAAAAGTGAACACAAATGCAATATAATGTGATCTTTTATTGACCACGTTTCGCCCACAAAATGGGCTTTATCTAGTCACAAACTGATGTATGTGAGGAAGAGTACACGAGTATATATAGGGTGGAGTCAGGTGCAGAATGTTGGGAAGGTTGAATTTGAGACAGACCTGCAAATTCAACCTCCCCAAAATTTTCCACTTGACTCTCCACCCTATATATGCTCATGTACTATTTACCCAGATAGAACTGTTTGTGACTTAATGAAGCCCACTGTGTGGGCGAAACGTAGTTAATAATGAATCACATTCTACCGCATTTGACTAATTTTCCATCTTGTCTGTATTTTATACCTTTTATCTCCAACTGTTGAACCCTTCATCACTACCCACCGTCTTCACACACCTTGCAGCTTCCTACTCACTACCTCACCTCATATGAGCAGGAAAAACTACTGTAACATGTAATTAAATCACACTATTCTACTTCGGTTATCCTGAGTTGAATCTGGGTGAGAGAGGAGCAGTGTTGTAATGTTCTTAATACCGCACAAACTTAACAGCAGCAGCAGTGTATAAAAACTGTAGTGATTTAAGTAGAATCAAGCTTTCTTACTTATTGCCAGTAGATGAATATAAGAGGACAGGTGCCTGAGACAGGTACCTTAGAATACCAGGAACCAGAGTGAGAGAGATGAGTGTGACACACCGCTTCTCTCACTCACTATCACTCACTCTCACAATGAACGAAATCTTCCATATCTCTTTCCTCCGATCATCACATTTACCTTTATAAATAATTTCGCAACTGGTACTGCTTTTGTAGCAATTTTTCTATAATGATAACGAGTGTTTGGGTTATTAGCTATTAAATTAATGAAACTGTGGCTCGTAGAGAATTTCTAGCGGATTGAACATTTAAAAAAAAAAACGAGGCTCGATTTATCGGAGATTGTCTGTAAAATCAGCTGATGCGATTCATTTTCTATGATAAACATGAATAAAATATATGAAGGTAATACAGTAAGAATGTTTTATTCATATAAATAATAATAATAATAATAATAATAATAATAATAATAATAATAATAATAATGAGGGGAAATATTAAATCCGTAGGGGGGTTATAAAGCATTGGGTTTGGTAGGAAGGTTGAGTAAGCCGGGTCAAGCCAGTCACTGTGGCTCCTGATACAAATAACAACCTCAACTAATGTTATATAACAATTACAGCAAGCAGCAGTAGAAGTGTGCTGCTTCTATTGCTAGGCCTACTCCAGTGTTCCTCCTTTCTTATGTTAAAACAAGTGTTTATCCCCATAATAGTAGACCACTGTTTTCTTTCAACATTCAGTTGTTTAAAATTGTATTTGTGTTGTAATTGTATCTAAACTGTAGCATAATGAACTGTAAATTTATTGCAACTGTATGTTTATTAGACAAAGAGTTTATTTTATCTACTATAATTATACTTGTCCCGTTGTCTGCATTTTAAAGTGTAAATTAATGCCAGAGTTGCGCCGAGTAGTAGTCGTAAATTATAGCGGCTACTCCTTGGACAGATTGTTATTTTAAGAACATAAGCAATGAGCAGGCCTACTGGTTCATATGACAAATTATTGCATAAGTGTCTGTGTTTTACTGGTTCATGCTAGGCAAGTCCAAGTCTACCTACTGGCTCAAGCTAGTCAGGTCTGACACCCACTTATGTATTTGTCTAACGTATGTTTTTTAAAACTACACAACGTTTTAGCTTCAATGACGCTACTCGGGAGTTTGTTCCACTCATGCACAACTGTTTCTAAGCCAGTGCTTATCTATATCCTTTCTGAATCTAAATTTTTCCAACTTGAAACCATTGTACCGAGTCCTGTCATATTTTTTAGCACGTTATTTACATTCCCATTATTCCTACTTTCCATATATACACCTCGGTCATAACCCCCCCCCCTAATTCTACGCCTTTCTAGTGTGTAAGTAAATTTATTCAGGTATACACAAATCAGTTACATAGATTATCATACATAAAAGCATGTGTGTAGAGAACTTAGGATAACCCAAAAAAGTCAAAGTGACTTAGTGAACATGCCAGAATGGATGTTGGAGGATGGCTTTTTCGCTGGATTAAAAGCTACCTAACCAACAGAGTCTTCTGTGTTGTTCCAGGGACATAGAAGTATAACTAAAGACTTTGAATTAGGAACCCCACGGGGAGGTGTGCTCAGTCCTACTCTATTCAGTATTCTAATTAATGCCTTAATGCTATGCCTAGCCAGCCCCATTATTATATGATTAATTTTGCTGATGATATAATGATTCACACCACCGGATTTTCCAACACCCAAAACATCCTTAACCATGTACTAGCCTCGTGTCAGGACCTGGGATTGATAATCTCTACTGATAAAACATACTCAACAGGCGTCCTCCTGGACAGATTATTATTATTATTATCATCAAGGGGAAGCGCTAAACCCGGAGGATTATACAGCGCCTGGGGAAGGGGGGGATGTGGAAGGCATTCAGGCTTAATTCGGGGAACTGGAGCACAGATCCAATTTCCTAAATCAAGAGCCCCTCACCAACATCAAGGAACCTTCCTTGAGGGGGAGACCTCCTGGACAGAGAGGCACAGTTCGTCAGATCCAGTTGCATGATGGGTCTCTTCTAGAATATGTAACCAGATATAGGTATTTAGGCTTTGAGGTCCCACTACTTGGACCTGTTGTAACGAGACTGTCGCCAAAGGGGGATTACCAACAGACCCCTGGCAGTCTTCAAGCTGGCACTGGACAAGCACCTAAAGTCAGTTCCTGATCAGCCGGGATGTGGCTCGTACGTTGGTTTGCGTGCAGCCAGCAGCAACAGCCTGGTTGATCAGGCTCTGATCCACCAGGAGGCCTGGTCACAGACCGGGCCGCGGGGGCGTTGACCCCCGGAACTCTCTCCAGGTAATACAAAGAAAGGCTGAGGGCACTTAGAGTTGTGGCAGGGTTTCACCCTGGGTATGGTGCTAATGTTAAAATTGTGAAAATGGTGTATCTTGCTTATATTCAAATTCAAATTCAAATTCAAAGTTTATTCTCTATAAGGATTACAATGCTGAGTTTACAGAAATTTGGTTATTGTGTGGTTTACATGTAGTAAAATTGTGATTACAGAGTGTACCACTAGAACGCTTAGCATGGCTAGGCATTTCGGGCATACTTAGTTTTATTCTTAATTGTAAAATATTACAAAATATGAGGTAAGCTGGTATTATGGCTAAGTGACTAAATACTAGTTTGTGAGTTTAGCAATGTGAATGCTTTTGTTTTGGCACAGTACATAGTTTCAGTACTGGAGTATCACAGGATTCATTATTTTAAGACTGAGATTAATATTTCTGTTTATGGTCAAATGAGTGAGTGAGTGTAAGTGGTACCACCAGGTGGTATTCGTGTAGTTAGTTGACGGGGTGTATCAGGGAGATAAGATGTTTTCTAATGGTAGTTTTGAATTATTATTATTATTATAATCAAGGGGGAAGCACTAAACCCGTAGGATAATACAGCGCCTATGGGGGGATGGAAGGCATTCAGGCTTAATTCAGGGAACTGGAGCACAGATCCAATTCCCTAGATCAAGAGCCCCTCACCAGCGTCAAGGAGCCTTCCTTGAGGCGTTGTTTTGAAGGTGATGAATGTGTCTGCAGTTCGAGAGTTCTCAGGTAGGGTATTCCAGATTTTAGGGCCTTTGACATACATTGAATTTTTGTAAAGGTTTAGTCGGACACGGGGAATGTCGTAGAGATGTTTGTGTCTGGTGTTATGCCTGTGGGTTCTGTCACAACTATCAAGAAAACGTTTTAGGTCAAGGTTGATATTAGAGTTTAAGGCCCTGTAGATGTAGATTGCACAGTAGTAAGTGTGGATGTTCCTGACTTATTTTCCAGTGGGTGAGAGATGACATAAGTCGTGTCGTCAGCAAAGAGAATGGGTTTCAGGTGTTGGGATACGTTTGGAAGGTCATTGATGTATATGAAGAAGAGCAGGGGACCAAGGACACTTCCCTGCGGAACTCCAGTATCAAGTGGCCGTGTTGCTGATGCTGTGTCTTTAATGGTGACATACTGATACCTATTAGTAATGTAAGATTTGAAATAAGCAAGCGCATGGCCTCTTATACCGTAATGATCAAGTTTGTGGAGTAGGATGTCGTGGTCTACTGTGTCAAAAGCTTTTCTTAGGTCAATAAAAATTCCTAGTGGATATTCCTTATTTTCCAATGCTGTGTAAAGCAGATCTAGCATTTTTATGATTGCATCATTAGTGCTTTTATTTTTCCTGAATCCAAATTGACAGGGGTTGAGTATGTTTTGAGCCGTTATAAATGAATACAGTCTCCTGTGCACGAGTTTCTCAAAGATTTTGGATAGCAATGGTAAGTTAGATATTGGCCTATAGTTGTTTAAGTCTGTAGGGTCACCACCTTTATGTATTGGTGTAACCCTTGCCATCTTGAGTAGTTTCGGGAAGGTGCTAGTCTCTAGTGACTTGTTAAAGTGTAATGAAATAGCATGCGAATGGGCCGCTCGCTTGTACAGTAATGGTGGGACATGAGACAGATTCCCCGAGTTATTTTTAAGTGACTTTATAATCTCGGTGACTTCCGTGGGCTCAGTTGGTGCAAGATAGAAGGAATTAGGGAAATTCCCATCTAGGTAGTCCCCGGCATGGGCATTGGTATGTGGGATTTTACTGGCGAGATTAGATCCTATGGTTAAGAAGTCGTTTATCTTGTTAGCTGTGTCAGTGGGATGTAGTGGCGTTTCATTAGGTTTAGTTAGGACAATATTCTTGGTTTTTCTCAGTTTGTGGGTCCCTAGAATCTGAGTGTGTTTTCCAGGTCTTTTTTATATCTCCTCTAGTGTCTGTGAATCTACTGGAGTAGTATAGTTGTTTGGCTTTCTTTATTACTTTGGTGAGAGCTGATGAATAGTGTTTAAGAATATCTTTGTGTATTAAGCCTTGTCTATATTGCTTTTCATATTGGTGTTTCTTGTCAATGGATTTCAGAATGGTGCTGGTTAGCCATGGGCAACCAAGCCGTTTGTTTGTGATCTGTTTTGTTTTTATAGGACAATGTTTGTTGTATAGTCTAAGTAATTTGTTAAGAAAAATGTCTGTCCAGTCATCAATACCATTGGCCTTGGAGAATTCTGTAGGCCAGTCAACAGTCTCTAGGTCAGCTGTGAACTTCCTTACTGAGGCCTCGTCATGGAGTCTAAATGAGACTTTGTTGTATTCAAGTGGTGGTTTACTAATGTTTGTCAGGAGGAAGGTAGGGTAGTGGTCTATGATAATCTTATCAGGTATGTTTTTCACATATATCATAAACAGAATAACTGCTGACTGATTTTTTGTTTTTGTGGGAAGGGTTCTCTATTTCTCGCTCTCTCACTTTGACACACTTGTGCCTGTCAGATACCCTGATGTCAATTAAAGAAACATAGACACACCAGAAACAGACCTCTGGACAGTTATTTTGTGCGACAGGGGTGCAGTGACTCTCAAGTTGGTCCTAGTGCCAGTAAAAGACAAAGAAGGGAAGTAACTCCAGATAGGGACTTGATACTTGAAGTCCTTATGGAGGGGGATTCCCCTTCCAAACAATAACCCCAACTCCCTCTCCCCTCCTCACCTTCAATAAAAGTATGTAATGTTCATTTATCATTAAAATTTGTACTTTACAGTATATTTATTTCTCATTGTTTTCTGAAATAAAACTATAGTTAATCTTTAAAAAATGTATTTTTTGTTAATATTTTTGGGTATCTGGAATGGATTAATTGTAGTATTTAGATTAATTTTTGTGGGAAATATTACTTTGGTTTTCGGCCTTTTTATATTTAGGCCGACCTGGAACAGATTATGGCCGAAATCCGGGGTTTCACTGTAATTCTATTGAAGAATAAGCTACACAACAGACTGCTTCAGTCAAATACAGGGAAATGTAACACTAGATACAGGTTGGCCATGACTAATCCGGCATCGTTGGGACCTGTAGTGTGCCAGATTAGTGGGCTTGCCGGATTACAGAGTGGTTTGATTAGAATACACTTAATTAACCTATCAATTGAGAGACTGCTACATCTTCCTCATTTTCATCACTGCTTTTTCCTCCACTAGCTTGTTGCTGTGGATTTACAACAATCTGCACAATATCCAAGTCAGTATAATGATGAAATTTGAGTTGGTATAATGATACGAGTCACTATAACGATGAAATTTGAAATTATGCTAGCCGAAATTAGTGCCAGATTACTGATAGAGCCAGATAACTGATTGCTGGATTAGTGATGGTCGACCTGTAGTAGTAGTAGTAGTAGTAGTAGTTTTGGCATGAACTGTACATCAGCCTTGGAAGGTGATGGTCACTATTGTATACCATTAGTATGAATTCTGTTATGTTCATTTTTGTATGTTGTCTTCTGAATTCGATATCTCTTGCTATTTGAAAAAGTAGTTTTATGTTGTGGAGGGAACTGAATGCCTGAATACAGTGATTATTGGTTCCATGAGGAGATTGCAGTCCATTTCACCAATATCAGATTCTGGCTAAATGAATATTATGATCCTAAGAGGATGTAGAGGTAATAGACCATTACCTGTCCACATCCTTATAGGCTCAATGCTGTGGTAACTGAGGTTCTGTCACTACATTTACTATCTTTACACCCAGCCTATTTGCATTCAGGGCTGCCTCATCTGTGGTGGTTATAAATGTATGTAACTCTTGTTTCACTAGTATTTTTTCTATCCTGTATAGTTTTGTGCTTCAAAAACCTGAACTTGCTAAATATATGAGACATACACTCATATTATTGTGCCTACTACATATACAGAACTCCAGTATAAAGCATCCACTTCTCCTTGATAGCTACAACAGAACGCAGTCACAATACAAGACATAAAGCACTCTTCGACATCCCTCATGTCAATCTCACACTATGCAAAAATGCAATGCACATAAAGGGCCCAAAGATCTGGAATTCACTACCTGAACCGGTAAAGGATCCCCTAACTACATATAAATTTAGGATTTTGCTTAAAAATCATCTTATCTCTCAGTACTAACCATACTGAAACTATGTACTGTGCCAAAACAAAAGCATTTACATTGCTAAACTCACAAACTAGTATTTAGTCACTTAGCCATAATACCAACTTACCTCATAATTTGTAATATTTTACAATTAAGAATAAAACTAAGTCTGCCCGAAATGCCTAGCCATGCTAAGCGTTCTAGTGGTACACTCTGTAATCACTATTTTACTACATGTAAACCACACAATAACCAAATTTCTGTAAACTCAGCATTGTAATCCTTATAGAGAATAAACTTTGAATTTGAATACCAACCAAAACAACTTCTGATCAGTTATTATATTATATGACCTCTAGTCTATTAAACATCTGCCAGTCCATGAAATATTACTGCCTGAACCATTAATTGTAATATTGGTTTTATTATATGCAACTTCAAGATTATTATTCTTATAAACCTCCACCTTGACTGCCTGTCATTAGTATTAAGATTAAATAAAGATTTTAATAAAAGTTAACCACTCTTATCTTGTCTAGATTTAAGTAGTTATTATGTACATACTAGGATTAGTCTGCCCAAAATGCCCCGGCATGATAGTGGCTTTCTTTGTACTTAGCAAACCAAAATTGTAATACACTTTGTAACCTTTACAAAGAATTAAAATCTTTATTCTTTTTTATTCTTGAAGCTTCCCAAACCTTTATTCCTCTCGTACCATTGCACCTGCTCTCTCATTGTGGGATATCTTTACAAGGATAATGCATCAGGTAACATTAGTCTGTTGTTACTACTATATGTGGGTTGTCATCTTTCACCCTTCAAACTAATTTTTCCTTATTTTATGTCATAAGAATTTGTGTACAGGACTTTTATCTTGTCCCTAAATCTGTATGCTACTACTGCACATGCAGATATAATTAGAATGCATTGACATACTGTGCCCTTTTATATATCAATTGCATAGTCATAACTGCAGATTGCCAGCTGTCCCATAATACTCACATATGTTGGTATGGCCCAGATGATTCCCCATCTCTTGTCTGTGACTTGGAAGTTTTCAGTAACTTACAGTTAAGGACTAAAATTTCTTAAAAGTACATAGAAGATTTGAATAGGGTTCAAAGATTGCAGTCTCTCATGCTACCACTAAACCATGACCAAGTTGTAAAAACCACTGTAGTTTATGGACAGTCCATTCTGGTATATAGGAACCAATATAAGTTAGATAATAAATGGATTAGACTTTTAATATGGATCATTTGCAGATCCATACAGGAAGTTCTCCTGATCCACTCTTATGACCTGGTCAGGGTACAGCAGTAGCATGTGAGATTTTATTTTATAGTGGAACCTCGTTTTTCGGCCACTGCATTTATCGGCCAATTCGTATTTAGGCTGGGTTTTCCGTGGAAAGTTTGCTCTGTATTTCGGCTGTTGCCTCGTATATTGGCCGTATTAGATGATCACCCCAGGATGCCGCGCTTAGGTGAGTCAGCCTCCCTTTGTCTGTTGGCGAGTGAGCATATACTCCGCTCATTCATCTAAACATTTAATAAAAGTCAATTGTTTTTGGTGTTTTTTTTTTATTAAGTGTGACTGTGAAATAAGTCACCATGGGATGTATGGCAAAAAACAAATCAACATTCACTCCTATCCTGGCAAAGAAAGAACAAATCAAGGAAGTTGATGTGGCTTGTTTATTAAGTGTGACTGTGAAATAAGCCACCATGAGCAGGGAGTGTAGCAGGAATGCAGAGTGTGTAGCAGGCAGGCAGGAAGTGTAGCAGGCAGGCAGGAAGTGTAGCATGGAGGCAGGGAGTGTAGCAGGCAGGCGGGCAGGGAGTGTAGCAGGCAGGCGGGCAGGGAGTGTAGCAGGCAGGCGGGCAGGGAGTGTAGCAGGCAGGCGGGTAGGGAGTGTAGCAGGCAGGCGGGCAGGGAGTGTAGCAGACAGGCAGGGAGTGTAGCAGGCAGGCAGGGAATTGTAGCAGGCATGCAGGGAGTGTAGCAGGCATGCAGGGAGTGTAGCAGGCAGGCAGGGAGTGTAGCAGGCAGGCAGGGAGTGTAGCAGGCAGGCAGGGAGTGTAGCAGGCAGGCAGGGAGTGTAGCAGACAGGCAGGGAGTGTAGCAGACAGGCAGGGAGTGTAGCAGACAGGCAGGGAGTGTAGCAGACAGGCAGGGAATTGTAGCAGGCATGCAGGGAGTGTAGCAGGCATGCAGGGAGTGTAGCAGGCAAGCAGGGAGTGTAGCAGGCATGCAGGGAGTGCAGCATGGAGGTAGGGAGTGCAGCATGGAGGTAGGGAGTGCAGCATGGAGGCAGGGAGTGCAGCATGGAG